CCCACAGTTGCCTCTTCCCTGTATTTTCTCCCTGCACAGATCTGGCACTTTCCTGAACCCAAGAGACTGGAGTACCACAGCTACAGCACGCTGCCTCACTGCACACCCAGCCTGCTGAGGTGGAGGCCGCTGGCTTAGAGTTCCCTTCTCCTCAGAGAAGGAGCACAGAGTTTCCTGATATGTTTCACAGTCCTATTGTAAAAGGGGGTATGTCCTGCAACTGCAATTTACACAACACACATGCTGTTTGCAAATAACTGAACCACAGAGCAGAGCTACAAACTCCCTCCATGATCTGGCAAGTCCCAACTCCTGAAGAATAAGGAAATACCATTACTGATGCATGTGTTTAGGTGCGACAAGAACGGGAAGACTGTGGCTAGGCTAATGACAACAAACACCAACAGAATGCGTGCCTTGAGAGGTTCTTCATTTTTCACAATTAAATCTGGCATTTTTTACTGTTTTGCCACTGGTTAAATTAAGCCTGCAAAATATTAAATTCAATTACCCATAAAATAATTATCTTAGTATTACAAGAGACGTAATTTTTGCAACATAAAAATGAAAGCCTACACTTGCATGCTATCTGCAAAAATCAGTGGTCAGGGAGTACCTACCTCACTAAGTATCAATATTTACTAAAATGTTCAAAGAAAGATATTTGATCAATCAAATCAGTTCCCAATGGAATTTCAGAAATTTAATTTTTTAATAACATATTTTAATGAGCTATTAAATTATCATGTACTTAAGTCTGCACTGTAGTTCCTTTCTAATCAGTGCTGATTACCAAGTTATTTGTATCTGGCAGACTTGCTTTTATTTTATAATCATCCTTCCTATTCCCTTCAGAGATTTACCAGTACAGTCTGGTTTCTGTAGCAAGGACATTTCAACTACAGAGTCCAAAGCAACTGCCCTGAGAGGCATCTCTGGTATTTGCAGAACTACCATCTCCTTTCATCTGTGTTTCTGTTTTCAAACCAGGGATGACAATAATTTCTCTGCTTCTGTATGGACTTTCAAATATGATGGTGAAAAGCATTTTGGAAGCACTCGGGGCTCTTACTAACACCCCGCGTTTCTGACTCTGCAAAGTGTCGGACAGAGGTAGGTGATGGCTGCAGGCTACGTCTGACTATGCAGCCCCACACAGCTGGAGCTGAAGCAGAATAGTAACATGGGAGTGTGAACAAGCACCCCTAACCTTGACTATTCTGCCTTGAGGCAAACTGGTAAGGCTTCATCCAGCCCCAAAGTCCAGGTGTAGCATGAAAGTCACTGATATCATTCAAGTAAAATGCTTTCCTCTTCTTCATGCCCGGAGCAGAGAAGGAAACAGCAACAGAACTTCCTGAGAAAGGTGTCTAAAACATGGTATTCACTACTAACAGCAAAAGTTCAATTGCCCAGAGCTTTTCTAGCTGAAAGTATTCCAGGTGGAAGCCGGGTCTATAAAGTCATGTCCATTTGCAGTTTGGGGAACTACAGTTAAATACATCACATTCCAGTAGTATCAGCAGAAATATAATTTTTTATAGGCCAGTAGAGAGACTAATGGTAGAATTAGTGCACACAGCATATGTTTTCTGCTTGCTCTCCACTGGGAACAGTAGCATGCAGGCTTGGGTCTGAAAGGAGAGACCTAGATTGTATTTGGTGTAACATAGATAAAGAAGCAGAATGGATTCTTTCAGGGTTGTTACCTTGCCAAAGGCAAGTAAATTCCCACTCTCTCCCTGGGGCTTGACTTTGCAGCTTCTAATAAAAATACCTCACCACATGGAAAACATCCATCCTCACAAAGCATTAAACTTTCCTTGTGCTTCTAGAGGTAGTGAAAACTTGTCAGGAGCTGTATAGCTAGTTTGCAAGTCCTATATTTATAAAATCATTAGACCTAAGTGCAGTGTGTGGGAAATGCTGCTTCCAATAGAGTGAATGGAGAGTTTAATCCCCACAGCACACAGAGCACCAGAGAAGAGCAATGAATCAATTACACTGTGTTGTCTTATTATCACATATCTTGCCGTAGCCTTCTTTGGTTGGCTGCTACAGCTTTGAGGTGACATCCCTAATGTATGTAATAGACCATTATTTACTCCATTAGCCATTCTGTGTACCTTGTTAAGAAACCTTGCCCTTTTTGGGGGAAGGTTGTGAAGAGGGAAATATATATTAACATTTACATATATAAAAACTCTTCCGATTTAAAATTCTTAGGCAGGAAAATTAAGTATCCCTGGTGATTGATTAGTTTCAAGCAATCACATGTAATGCTTTAACAGTCGATCCTCTCCCTTATTATCTGCAGTTTGTGCTGAGAATAGTTACAGATTCCTATGAAATCCCATTCCACAAAACCACTTAGCTGACCGGGCTGACTGTGTAGCCATTTGGGAGCTATTACAATCAGTGCACAAACGCTGAGATTTGGTCCCAGCAGCCAGAGCAATAAACCCATATTCCCTGCCAATAGACCTGCCATTAGCCACACTGTGATTGCTGGTGTACTGCATGGGGTAAGACAGATGAAAAAGGTTGGTGCAGGGGCACAGGGATCTGCCTGAGAAAGGACTGAAGAGTGGTTGTCCTAATGGAAACTTGGAGTGCTCAAAGTGGCCCGTTCTCCTGTTTAGCAATATAACAGGAGGTACTCCAGACTCTATTTGAAGCATTAGTCTTTCAAAAATGTAACATAAATCATAATGCAATCACAGAACAATGTTCACCCCAGCTGCCAGGTACAGAAGGAAGGAAAATATTCAAGAAAGAGAGCTCAGGGAAGGAGGGAGAGAAACGGAGCGAGGGCCTGGCCTGAGAAGACCTTTTGTAGCCCTAGATCCTACAAACCTATCAGGCACTGAGTGTCTTGAGCATCTCAATCTTCCTCTGAAGCAAGGAAGAAGAGGAACCCACAGAAGCCTGGAAGCCTACTACAGGACATCGGTGTTTCTAGGTACTTGCAAGTATTTTTTGGGATATGATGGCTGTAAGGGCAAGGAGCCAAGCAGAATATATCAGTCTTGCTTGTTGCATAAACCAGATACTCGTGCATGGCTGTCAGTGCTGCAGCTGCTGCGCAGGTGGGACATGAATAAGAACAGCTGAGAACACACCAGGAGCAGAGGACAGGAAGAGGTAGTGCTGCTGAAGACCAAAAAAGCATTGGAGCAGTCTGTCAGGCTGTCACTTTTTAATGCTAATAATCTCAGGTCTCTGGAGCACATAACACCCTCTCCCAAGGCTAATCAGCAGATAGTAGCCTTTTTCTTTCATATGTGAAGAATTGCTGTAGAATGGTCCATGGGCTAACTCACCAGTGTTTTTCTCCTCAGGAAAATGGAAGGGCTTAGACAGCAAATAGACAACAAACTGAAATACGCTGGCTACAAAAATATACTGGTGTAAGTTTTACCATCCATGAGCAGTAGGATGCAGACTGTAGGAACTCAGAAACTTGCAGACAGTTGGGCTACCATCATTTTATCATAGCATTTTGTATAAATAAATAAATAAATAAATAAATAAATAAATACACATCTCACATTATTTTGTGTACACATGTATACACATATATATATATATATGTACATATATCTACATGCACGAATGCATACAAATTGTTTTCATATCACCTTTGCTTCCTAGCTCTTTGAAAAGAGATTAATATAGTGGCTACTCCAGCTTAAGGAGGTGATCTTCCCTTTTTTAGTTTTAATTCTACTCTTCATCACTTAAGGTGTAATTTTATTAACAACAACCTATTTGTCACAGCTGCAGGACCAGTTTAAAAGACAAAATTTGAACAGGTCACATAGCAAAGTTCAGAATAAGAGTATTTTTTAAAGTTTCTGGTAATTTCAGCTAAGTTTATTTCCCAGAACATTTTTTCTATATATCAGTATTACTCCTAAGTAGTTTCCAGGGCAGCAAAGATGGGCAATCAGGAGCACATGGACAGTACTCTACCATCACAGATTCAATATGCCCTTTCCCACCTCCTTTCTGCCCAAAGAGGCTGTTGTCATGGAGGGGAAAATCGCCCACTCTGGCCACAGCTACTGATTGTCAATCAGACTCTGGTCACCTCCTCTTCTACTATGGAGCAGTATGGAAATATTTAGATTGATGTAAAGATAGATATTGTGGATCCCGAAGTGGGTGTTTGGCTGAAGCTGAAGCAGACTTCGGTTCATTTCATAAAACCCTCTCTGTTTTACTAGTTGAACCCAAGTTTTTCCCTCTCAGTGGCATGGAAGTGACTTTCTTTTTCTAAACTGATACATGGGCTTGACATGATATCTTCACTATCATTGAAGAAAATCCCATGCCAAAACTAAGAGCACATTTTTCCCTCTAATGCAAGCCTCTTTACCACCTTTCAAGTGTGTTTTGTGCTCAAGCAGAGCACTAAAACATCATAAAAATAGATCTACAGGAGGAAAAAAACAGTAAAATATTACCCCTGTGTTGCTCCTGTCCAGCTCATACCAACCCCTTTGCATTGCTGTACACTTGAAATGCCCCCAAATAGAGGACAAAATTTCAGGAAAATCTTATGATCCTTCATGGTCACTTTCCAGACTACCTGTTTCTTTATTTCTGAGATAGAAGACAACTTTCCGTGGCAGCCCCAGAAGTCCAAGATGAGTTAAATAAATTAACCTCTGTGAGGTGATGTGCAGTTGCTGGATTGATGGCTCTGTGTAAGTACAAAGCAAATTCATGTCTTATTCCAGTAGTCTTTCCAGGATATGATGGGGACTAACTGGTTTCTTTTTCTCTGCCAGTGAGAAGACCGAATGCACACCACACCAAAGGCATTTCCAAAGGCATTGCTAAAACATTTACTCTTCAGCTGGTGGGAAACTGCTAGGAGACAACTCCATGAGCCTCCTTCCTATGCCTCCCCCACATTCTACATTCCAGTCTGAACGGGGACTGATGTCAAATACAGGCTTGCAGAGCCCTGACAGAAAACATTCGATGCTCACCTTGACAATAGATGCCTGACTGGATTTGGAGGACCCTGGGAAGGGCTCTGAGGTCCAGAGAATGAATGAACTTCTGCAGGGTAGCGGCCATGGTCCGGAGCACTGTAGCATGTGGGTTTGGCACAAAAAGACCAGTGAAAAGCTCTCAAGGAAGCAACACTTTCAGCCTGGTGCATGCTGTGCTTGAGAGCTCCACAGCAGCGGGAGGAGTGGCATGGGGAGGTACTTCTGCTTCCTTCCCTCTGTGGCTGCTTCCTCCCATAGGTGCAGCTGGAGCGGGCTGAGGCCGCTGGTGTCCCCATCAGCTGCTTCTGGCACCCACACACACCGAGGGCCTGTGCCAGGTTGGGGGATGTGGGAGGCAGCTGTGAATACTGGGCTCCAAAGGGGAAAGGGGGATCTGCTATAAAACTTCATTTCATTAGTGATAGTTATTGACCCTGTGAAAAGAAGATAGTGAATACCAGCCCTGCCTAGAGTGGGATAAAACCTACAATATCTGCGTGGGGTGTTGCTGGTTTGTTGAGGGTTTTTTTTTCCCTCTTGGAATGCAGCAAAATAGTTTGGTGTTTGTTCACTTCAAAACCATAAATAGCCTTTGAAGAAAAGAGATGAAGCATTCTACCGTCTTAAATATTTTATCCGGATTTAAGATATACAAATAGAATACAAATTATTTCATCCTCTAAATGGACATCTAAAAACAAATTGTTATGCAAAAAATTTTCTTATGCCAGCCACAACGATTTGTGGGAATTTGATTTTGAGGTGCTTCAGCTGGGAAGGAATTTTAAGAGACAGTACCAGGTGAAAATCAGACTGCACTGGTGACAAACCCCTAGCACTGATCCCAGCTCTGCCATTCTGAGCTTGATCAAGCTCTGTTGTTTCAGCAAGACTCTTCTGAAGAACAAGGTCATAGCAATAAACAGCAGACTCAGATCATGAGGAAAATGGAAGTGACTGTGAATTCATTGTTTCTTGCACTGCTGTCCTGTCTCCCTGAGGGGTCAGGGAAAGTAGAAAACATGACATTGTGACAAAACAGTGAGCAAGATAATCAAACATTTATTTTCAAAAAGTTTGCTAGCTTCATTTCCTCTATATGTAATATTTTGCAGGAGACAATATTACTCACATATTAAAAATTTTACAATTAAAACTCTCAAATTCTTAAAGACCGGTGCCTTTGAGGTGCTGGGCTACCTATAGAGCCTGAAAAGTTTATTAACTTAGTCTTAAGAAACTTAACTTGGTCTTAAGAAACATTTCTCCAGAGAATGTGAAGTATACTTTATAAGTGAGGAGTCTCCAGGTGCAGAACTCACTATTGCCAGTCATTAATGCTGGAGGTGCTGCAGGGACGAGGAGTAACTGGGCTTTGAATCTCGGAGTCACAGTTATTAGTAAAAGCCAAACTAGAGAACATGCACAGCCATGTTGAGCAATCATCAACTATTTTAATACAATACATTACTTATTCTCCCCTCCCAAAGAAACGTATTTGAAATTACACAAATGTAATTTGAGAGAGAGCTGCAGAAATCACATGTATTCAGTGGCAATCAAAATATCCATACGGTAAAAAGCTGGCTTTTACAGCCACAAAGCAGTGAAATGTGTGAGTGTTTTCAGTTATTTCAGTGGGACATCTTTGTATTTTTTAAGATTTTGTGTGCAACTCTAGCAATTCAAAGCCAACTTTCTTGCTACCTGCTCCCAAGGCTGTCAGGTATTGTGCCAATGCTAGCAGCTGCGCTTTACCTGTACACGTTGTTTTGATCAATGGATAAAGAGCCCCTAAGGCCATTTCTATAGTTCCTCAATTCACTTGTATTTGGCTCTTCATTTTGGTAAGACTGCCAGGAACAACACCACAAAAGAACATTTAACATGGATGGCAAACACGCACACAAATTAATAAATGTTTTTGAAATTGCTTGAATCCAACAAAGCAAATGCACAAACAGACATAGATTTCACACAAAGAAAAATTCAGAAGAAAACCTGGTTTCTGCTGCTGAATCCAGCAGCCCAACACTATGGAGAAGGCAACTGAAGCTCTGTGCTCCCATGGCCAACAAGCAGCGTGCGTTTCCAATAGGCACAGACAGACAGATATATACAGCACCCATACACATAAATAAACTGCCAGACACACAAATCAACTTATACAGAAACCCCAGCAAGCCCCAAAGGCCTCATCCTGTTCCCCTTTCTGGCCGATTGAGGTATTAGTGGGAAATACACAAATATGTATTTATGTAGTGGGGATCCCTCCAGAGCTGAACTTAGGCACAGCCCTCCCAGTGGCCTCTGATCTTACTTCCACTGGGGTGTGCAAGCAGCTTTGGAGGCCCAGAGCCTCTGTAATGTACCTGGGAATACCCTGGAAATACCTCTGGAGTTCCTCTATCCACTGTTCTGTGTGTGTGTGCAAAAGCCAGCTTTTTATCACATAACCTAACAAAATCAACCATCTTAGCTACAATGAAGGAACTAGAAATGTACTTGTCTGAAATTGCAATTTAAATCAGGAATGCTACCCACTGGTCATTTGTTATCAGAAGAGTTCCCACATCTGCTAACACAGAGACTGGTTAATAAGAATCACTGACATGTTCTTCCAAATGCTCTGCAGGAGATTTTCCAGTTTGATGTGTAAGACCAAGTGCAGAGAAAAATAATTTGCCATCTCCAAACCATCCTTGATCTCAGAGTGAGAGATCATCAGATTGTCATCACGGACTGTTGGTAACAAGGGATCCTTTGAGGAGGTGTTCGTATTGCAGACTACATTCTTAGGAGGATCTTGACTAAGAAAAATTCCTTTTGTTTTGTCCAAGTTTCAATATTGAAGATTAGGACAGGCTGCTGAAAAAGAATGTATATATACTGTACCGAGAGGAGGCAATATCTGACCCTGTTCTTCCCATACAGAAAGAACAGAGAGCACAAGCCTCTCCTTACTCCATCTTCAGTTCTAAGTTATAGCATTCTTCACCAAGAGCCTGCCAGGACCTCAGTGTTACCTCTGCCCTGTGGAAACCTGCAGGCTTGGCCACTCCATCTCTACTGCCGGTGTGATGGTGTGAAGGTGAAGTTGAACAGCCAAACCCACAACTGCCAAAGTGACCGTGAGTCCCCATGCAGCCACTGTGTTGGCAGCTCCAGCTGCTCTGGAAGGTGCAAACAAACAGGGACCCATGTTTCCCCAGATGGAAAAGCCCTGCATATTCCCCAAGGGGATGGCCAAGGACCAGTAAGGGAATGTGACTGAAAAACAGCAGTCAGCCTAATTATGGGCACATCAGCAAAACACAGAAGTCGGAAAACTATATCCTGGAATATTTTTCTACCTTGCTGATGGGTTTAATTATTGTTTTTCAAAAAGTCAGTACAATGTTCTAAGTTTCCAAAGAAAAGCCGTTCTAAACCTGTAAAGGTTTGCAATATTTTTTTGAGCTCAGCCCATTTGTTAGAGAAATGTGGCCATTAGCTGAGCTGGTTGAAACTATAAAACAATCCCATAAATATAAGCATAAGCACCATTTATTGAACTTATAAGGGAAATGTATTTAATATAGCTGGAAGAACAGTAATTCCAAAGAGGAAAATATTTTAGGGAAACTCAGAACAGTCAGGACCTGGGAGACAGGCGTGAGTGAGGCTCATATGGAATGGTTACACTATCCTTTGAATCAAATTCAAGATACTGCAGGAAGTTCAATACACTTGCATTTTTTTTTCCAGTATAAGGGTGTTATGGTTTAGGAATGATATTCTCCAATTTAGTACTCCCAGTAAAAAAAAGCACCTGATGCTTCCCCTCCCTGCTCTCCACTTGGAGGCACAAAAAGCAAAGTTCACAGACTGAGATAAGAACACTATACTGGAAACAGCAATGAGATAAGAAAATAAACAGTAACAACAACAAAATTAATAGTAAAAGTACACAAAATAGAGAGTGATTCACATGTAAAAATTCTCACTACAGAGCCTGAGACAATAAAAAATAGCAGATGGCCACCCTGCCATGATTTTTTTTACCAGAAGGAACCCCTTCTCCTTGGAAGCAGTGGTCCCTTTTCCCCATCCCTGGAAATGATGCAAGGTGATATAGAATAACCTCAGTGTCCTAGCTATGACCCTTACTGGCTGCTTTAAAAAAATGAACCCTGTCCTGGCTGAAATCAGGAAAAAGGTGGACACTCCTTCTGTCATTAAAAATAGAGTCAGACTGAGCTGTAAGGAATCTTGCCTGACACAGGTGCATTGAGCTGTGAAATAATCTCCCAAGGGAACAGTTGATTCCTGGAATGCTTAAGCCTTGAATAAATAAAGGACTCTATGACACCACCAAGAACAATTCTGATAAAGAAAGGGAGAGAGGTCATCTCTTCCTATGGGTGGTTAGCTGTATTGTCACCCTTCATTTATAGGAATCTACTGTCTCAATACCTAAGTCAGGTGAACAGTATTATATTTAACCGTTCCAGAGGTGAACTGAGCATTAAAAGAAGCTACAGAGACTTTCAGGAGCTGTGCTCTTCCTCTGCTAACCCACAGTTGTTCTGGTAATATCAATCAGGCTTCATACAACCTACCCAAGAAGCACAACACTGAACTGACAGCCATGGCCTTCCAATGGCCCTTGTGATGTAAAATTATGGTCTCAGCTTGAACTAACTGTCTCCAATGTGAGAAAAAAATCTAATCCCTACAATGGCACAAATGGATTATTCACAGAGAGACAGAGATTAAATTGGCTGAAACATGAACTGTTGTAACACAAATTAGAACATGATAGGTGGGTCTTTGTATAAAAGCTTTTCCTGCCATTTCAGTATGTATAGGAGGATAGGATTTATTGCCCAATAAAGCCAAAGATGATCAGCTCATAAGCACTGAAATAATTCTATCCAAGGAAACCTAACTTTTTAGCCTAACATTTAGGTTACTTATCCTCCAGCACCTTCAACAATTGCTTTTAACTTTACCTGAAAATATAAAGCTTTCGTTGTTCAGAATATGTCACTGACTCCAGAAAGCTGTTTTGGTTTTTTTCTTTTTTTTAAAATTCTTTCTTCCATGGACAGCTGCTTCTCACGCTCCCCCTAAGATGAGTCAATTCAGGTAGAGGTCTTTTCAAATCTGCAGAGGCAGATCTTATTGGAAATTAAAATTAAG